GCTATGTGACTCTAAAGTTTGTGTTTTACTATCATTCAATTTCAATTATAGATGATATAAGTTTATTTCAACCATGAATTTTGACTACTTCTTGTGTAAAGGCTTTGTAGGGTGTACACGAGAGTTAAAATATTTCCATAAAACCTAAAAAATCCAGAAAACACAGCTGAAAATAACTAAAAAACAATACCCAAATAAGAAAACCCCATGAACCACTTTAATATCCCAATAGCACAAAGAAAAATTGAAACTTTAAGACTGTACCTTGACAGAAATAGTTCCAGCCAGGGCGTCAAGATCTTCAAGCAACTTCCCAATTCGGACCTCATTCCAGGGATCCCTATATTGCTCTCTGAGCACAAAATCAGAGGAGAAGTTGTACAAGATGCTGGTCCTGCTCTGCGAGGGGTTTCTGGTGAGCAATTCACTCTGGGGAGGAGCGTCCCTCGGAGGGTCAAGAAGCCTCTCGAAAATCTGGCCCCGCGCCTCCCACAGAGCCGTGGTCACCGGAGAATGGTACATCCCCGGCCACAGAGCAATAGGTTTCCGGTCCGCCGAACCGTTCGCCGGCGGAGGATTCTCGAAAGGTGCGGTGGCGCTGGCGAAGGTGGAAGCAACCGGGATTGTTCCATTCACAGCAATTGTGTTGTTGGACGGAGAAGAATTCAAATCCATTGTACTTTTGTAGTCTTTTGATGTTTTTACTTCCCTTTGAACAAGAATGAATCCGTTCTTCTACTTTCCTCTGTTGTTTACAGTGTTTTTGGTAGTTGTTGTTTCGGAAACAATAATAATGTGTTAAGAAACATTATTTTCTGATTTAATGAATTCAACGTCTAAATCAGTAATTCATAAACTAATTACAAATATTTGACAATAAAAATTAGTGTTTAAATATAAATTTTAAGGTCATTATTGATTAACATAATTATTATATGTGGTAGCTTATAATAAAATAAAAGTATAAATAACATAAAAAATAAAAATAATTTCACGTTAAACAGACAACACTGATACAAAATCAGTTGTGACTAGATGAATTTTTTTTAATCAGACATGTATGAAATGTTAATATATATAAATTATTTGATTCATTAAGAAAATATTTATTAAGAAATGTATTAGTAGAGCTGGTGAATGGTGCAATGTGTGCCATAAATTTGAAAGGAAGAGGTCCACCCAATTTACGCAAGGTATACCAGATCACCTTTCAGGTTCCACGATATTTCTTCTCTAATTTAATAATAATAATGGATATGTAAGTATATTTTATAGCAAAATTTAAGCTTAATTAATTTCAATTATCTTATAAATAATAATATTTTTAATTAAATTTTTATTATTTTATTGAATATTAATTTTTTATATAAATTGACTTTTTACTGTTTAATTATTGTTATTACCAGTGAAATGACGTGATTATTATCTTAATTAGTTAATTTAATTATTTTTTCATCAATAAAAAAAGAAAAATTAAAATAAAATAATATTTTAATTAATATAAAATAACATGTTAGTGTTAAAATAAGACAAATAATAAAATATGATCATCATCATCATCTATTTTAATGATAGTAATGAAATCAGTTTTTTAATTGCTATAGATGGTGCTTTAGAAATCATTGAAAAACATGTACACTGATGATAACGATGGTCCTTTGATATTAGTATCGTAAAAATACGTCATTCGATTTAACCTGATTTACTAGACTTGATTTACTAAGGATTGATATCGATATTTAGTAAATAAGTTTAATCTGGTTTATTAAAAAATTTGAATCTGATTTAGTTTATATAATTTAGTGATCAAATGGGTTAATTTATTAACTTACTTAATTATAATTTTTTTAATTTAAAAAAAATAACAATTTTTTCCTAATTGAAATATAAATAAAATTCAATTTAAAATAATATTAAATTTTAAATATAATTCAAAATAAAAATATATAATATAATCCAAAATAAAAATATACAATATAATTAAAAAAATACAATACAATTCAAAATATTTTAAATTCTAAATACAATCCAAAATAAAAAAAAAAACAAATTATTATATAATATTGATAACTATTAAGTCTTTATCTATTTATAACATTAAAATTTTAAATAGATAAATTAACAACAATTTGTATTTTTTTTATCTTCATTTATAATATAATAAAAAATAATATTAACTAATAATAATAAAATACAAAATAATAAATAATTAAAATAGTTTCACGTACGGTAACCACGATCTGTGATTAAACTATACTCCACAAATATGTGTATTCCATAAAATGCCAAAATCTTAATTTTTTCAAACTCAATCAACTAAAACTATGATGGATGAAATAGATTCATGGATTAAAACTCGTTTTTGACAACAGTATTTGATAAGCATTACGTCCATTTGCACAGCTAAGTTTGCAACAGTTTACGGCTTCATCTGTAAAGGGAGTGCAGGGATAATTAGATGATATGATGTTGGATTTTTGAAATGCAAAATCTGTTCCCCATTGTTAATTAGTTCGTTTATTTTGTTGTCCAGATAACCTCCTCCACTCTTTTTGTCCAGGCAACAACAGCATTTTTAAGAATTTTTTATAATTCACATTTCACTAAAGAAAAATTTATATTTAAGTTAATACAATTTTTATTTATTTATTTTTTATAATTCACATTTCACTACAGAAAAACTTTTTTATAAAAAAGTTTAATATATTTAAGTTAATACAATTTATATTTATTTATTTTTAAAATTTAAACCATAATATATTAAAATTTCAAATAGAAAAATTATAATTTTGCTTCTCCATTAAAAAATTAAGAACATATTTAATTTTATAAAAGAAATACATTGGTTCACGTAACTGTAATTTGACGAAAGAGACACACTATTAATATATATAAAATTGTATGAGAATTTTTCACCAAGATCTGACTACTTTCGTGGGGAGATTTAGTCACTAATTTAAAAAACATGAAAACTCTTCAATTCAACGGAAAGTCACCTTTATTGTAACGAATTTGATGACATTTATTAATTTAATATCATATAATGGAAATAAGAAGGATTTGTTTTTCGTGAATGTACCATTATGAATGTATCTAAACAAATTGTCTTGACATAATTCACATCCATTCGTATAAGCTTAAATTAAAATAAATAAATAAAGAATAAGATTCATTCATTGGATTAGGAATTTTGCCAATATATATATGGAAAGAAATCAAAATGACTCCATCACGAATGAAGATTTAAATTAATATTGAAAACTCATCCATAATATCAACTACTTGCGTCATGATTTTAAAAAAATATATTAACAATTATCAATACTAATAAATAAACAATTAAAAGTTGCTTAATATTATCTCAGTCTGCAAATTGATGGATAATGAAGGCGTAATGCATGTGTTTTCACGAATAGGGTTAAGGTAATGTCCAACAATATGTTTCAATGTATTCAAATTATTCATACAATGTTTCAATAGATTAAATAATCTTGAAAATATATTGATAACATAATCATATAAAAACTTTTATATCAAGATATCATTCTAAATTTTTAGGAAACTAATAAATAAACAATTAAAAGTTGAATAATATTCTCTAATATTGATGGATAATGAAGGTGTTCAAATGTATGTGTTTTGAGGAATATGTTCAAGGTTAATGTCCAATATTTAGAAAGTAGTTCAGAGGGTTTAAATGTTGTTTTTCATTCCAAGTTTCCTATAACTGTTTATTTATACTCTAAAACCAAAATCAGTTCAACGTTTGATCATTCAGATATTTTGATCATTCAGATATTAATGGTAATGTAATTATCTACTTTTTTTTATCTCAAACCTATTATATAAAATTTCGAATGGAGACTTTGATTAGTAACGATCTAATTACATATCCAACTGGTAGTAATCACACTTACTTAAGTTGACATTAAAAAAATTACTCTAAACATTTGACCGATAATAAGCTTCTGAGGTCTGATCTTGGTGAAGTCCAATCGTAATTAATAATAATTCATTCAAACATTTGATTAAAGATTGATCGTGTGGAACGTATTGAACCAACAATCATTAATACACCATGTATCTGGATTTGGCAACATGAAAGATTCGTTATTAATATGGTATGATTATCAATTTATTTCATAATTTCTCATCAAGAAGACATTTATAATAGGTGTAAGAAGACCTTTATAATTGGAGGATCATTTCAAATAATTGCGTATGCTCATGAAAAATCAACCCAACGATGAGTAAGAAATTTACAATTAGTTCAAACAATTTATGAGACTTTTTTTAAAAATTTCTGACGGTTTTATAGAGTTGTTCATAGGTAATATGGTGTGTGTGGTATAGATATATTGAATATTTAACTTTTTTTTATTATAGTTCATAATTTTATTTCTAAATTTAATCTGATTTAATACTTGAAGTTGTACAGGTATTTGAAATTTCCATAGTCAACAGTGAACATACGTCCTTATTTTATATTTTAATTCAAAAGCATAACTTTAAATTTAAGGTTAGGTATTCATCTACTATTATGGTCTTTTGAAAATATTTATGGAAGAGATTCAATATTATAAGGACTCCTCAACATTCTCTCCCTCAAGCTACACAAGAGACTTCATAGTGTCATCAACCTAAAATACTAAGAAAATCAGTTTATTAATCTTGGTGTTAAATGAGTTGTTTGAAAACAAAATTAAAATTTAAGAATTTTCAGAAATTATTTTAAATAACAAATAATAAAATTTGTAATTCATTCAAATTAAGAGAAATTAAAATTTAAAAACTGTTATTTTCTCTCCATGAAAACAAAAAACATAAAATATCATTTAAACACGTTTAAAATTTGTAATATTTGATTGCAAAGTTTATCTTAAAAAAGGAATTTAGTTATTTTATCTAAATAATGAAATTAAAATATAAAATACTTCAATTACACTGTCGAAACAAAAGAAATTACAAACCAACATTTCAATTTCTTATAGAATTACCTCGTACAAACAGAAATTAATAGAACTATTTTATTTAATTTTGAAGGTGTCAATAATAGCTCCTGCAGGGTGCTTCTGAGCTGAAGCAGCTAAGCTATTAAGAAATTCAAGAGTGTTTTTATGAGACGTTCCTTCCTCACTGACAGCATGTTCAGCCAAAGCCTTCAATTCCATGACATTGCTTTTCACCTCTTTGCCTCTCTCACTCTTCAGTATTTCCAGTATGCAATGTTTCAGCACTTCTCTTCTCACAATCTGTTTCTCATCAGCTTTAGCTCTGATTCCAATCTTCCACACGTCTTCAATTAGCTTAGCATTTGAGAACTGTTCAGACCAACATGGCACTGCCACCATTGGAACTCCTAAACTCAAGGCTTCTAACGTCGAGTTCCAACCACAATGCGTCACAAAACACCCTATAGCCTCATGACTTAGCACCTTTACCTGGGAGCACCACCCTACAACTAAACCCTTCTCTGACCTCTTTTCAAAATCTTTTGGCAGCTTATTTTCTACCGAGGCCCTAGCGTCCACACAAAGTAACTTTCACTGTCCCCCTAAACCATAAGCTTTCTTTATTTGCTTTCTTCCATTACTCTCTCATAGACCCAAAACAACATAAACACCAATTCTTTTGGTTTACCGTTTAACCATTTCATGCATTCTTCGTTGTTAAATCGTGTGGCACCATCCTCATCTTCATCGTCTCCAACGTGCCCTTCTTTAATAACATGGTGTTTATGCATGGCCCATGGTCCTGAGATTGGAACCCAAATTTCTTCGTCGAATCAATGACCGTACATATACAAGAGAAAAAGAAGACAAGAAGAAGTTCGGAACCCGTTTGTCATTTGTAGCCTGAACTAAATATTCAAGATTTCAGTTTGAGTCGATCGAACTGTGTTTCTCAGTGCAAGCTAATCGACTGGATATTTCCGCTTGAGTCAACTTGACTCATCCAGGACCGCACCAGCATCCGGCAAACTCCACGCCCGTCTCGCCATCAACGCTTGCAACCAGCGCTTGGCGACACAATCATTCAACGGGAGACCAACGCTGAGTGGTTCTCTCACGCGGGGTCACCAGCACAACAGCTGCGCCCTCATCTCCCTTCGCCAACGCACAAGGGTTTTCTACTTCCCCCACGCTTCAGCTCGAGGATGCCAACCGCCCATTCGCCGACGTTGCGACCACCGCGACTCCCTCTTCTCCCTATCTTGCTCCGTTTATAAGTTGCTATGTGGCTCCTCTTAATGTTCAGGTTGGGTCCGAGTGGGTAAGAGGGAGTAAGGGTGGGGGTTCGGGTGTTCGGTGGGAGTGACGTAAAAATAATGTAGGGAATAAGTGAATAGAAACGGAGGGTGTAAGTTGGGGAGAGAAATTAGGTAGTAAGCAAAAGGGATTTCATGCTAAGATGTAATTACTTTTTATCAATGGATATTTTTTTTAATGTTTATACAGAGTTTAATTGAATGAGAAAAATGAGTTGTTGAAGAACATTAAATGGATGAAAATAGGTTGTTGGAAGAGGTTGATGATGAAGAATAGATTCTGTGTTGTTGTTTTTACTTTGTTTTCTGCTGTTTTCAATGATAATGAAGGTAGGGGCCCGCATGGTTAAATGCATGCATTAAAGTATTAATGCTGCAATAATATATCTAGTATTTATAAAAAGAGTTTACACGTAACGTAGGATATAGAGAGAGAGATGCAAGTGATGCAGAGACAGGAACATTACCTGTTTCCATGTGGTAGAATGAATTGCAGAGAATCCAATCAGCTTGGTGGATGTTGGAAAACTGAGCAACTAAGACATTAAGCAAAGTTGGATAAGTGTCATCTGTAGGGAAGAAGAAGGAGGGCATGTCGTGATGTTGAAGTTTGGGCAAGAAAGGAAGAGAAATCTGATCGTGTGTGATGGGAAGTTGCAGCTTCCCATGCTGGACATGGGCCGTATATACTGTTAACAAACATGTTTTGAGTGAGAAAAAGAAGCCCCTGCAATCTGAATCTCTTTGCAACCTCCAGAGAAAAAGGGAAGAGTGAATATTAGAAAGAAAAAA